CACTGTTATACCTGGCGTCACTGGACACCTGATCTGAACAATACCTCACTCCTATTTACCTATTAACTGAAATTAACTTTACTACCATTAAGAAGAATTCATGTTTGTATCACTACACCTTACGTCGTCAACATTTCCTAAAACTAGGACATAAGAAATGTGTGATAAAACCACCTACCAGACTTGTGACGTGCCCATGACATGTGGTTCATAGGGCTCACCGTCACTCGTCTCAATTCTATCAATCTAATCTACTGTAACTATCAATTCCTCTCTTCATCTCTCATTCCTCTCACCACCTTCCCCTTCAGCCCGCATGCTGTTCCTTGCTGGTAGATTCTTCCCGTTGTGCATTGTGTCACATGCTGATATTCAGTGTGCATGAGTGAGTGTCAATACGTCTGTTGTTGGGATGCCAGGCGGAGTGTTGCAATGATTAGTCCTGTGTGTGTGTTGCGTTATAATGGCGAGTGTTCTCTCTCCAGTTTATGTGCATTTATAAATTGTGTCTGAAGGGTAGAACTGTTAGCTCTTAGACCCCCGTCTTTCTAGCTATCGGTTGTCTAATGTACTGACTCCAGATCTATTTTTCTTTTACCTGTGCTTAAAAGAGTTTATCATCAGCTTCCAATTCTATCATTCAATTTTTTTTTATAAACGCCATGACTGTGATTTTTTATAATAAAAATATATTTAATATTGTGTATTTAATTATCTCCAATCATTCTTTATCAAACCCATTCTACTTATTCACTGAAAAAAATTATTGCATCTGTGATTCCTCTGTCTCTAGTCCCCATCTATGTCACTTGGTTCTTCACCTAGTCCTCCGGGAACGCTTGGACAGAGGCCGCTGATCATCCGAACTGTCGCCCGCAGCAGGAGGCATCGCAGTAGAGCCCACGGCCGGCCGCAAGTCACCGGGCAACACACGATCCGTAAAAACATCAGCCTCACCCACAGGGGGTACAGGCCCACACCCTTCAGGCAACACTGGAGCCGGAGACGGGGCCGGCGGAGGCGAGGAAGCCGACGACAGGGGCGGGTCCGCACCCCCCACCACCCCGACACCCACACCACCAACCGCACTAACTGGAGCGGCACCCATCACCTTAACTGTCCTCTCACATATTCCAGCCTCCAGCTATGAGGTCGAAAGGAAAGGATGGTACCCCTCACACAAGGGGGTACCATCCACAACTGTTACATCCTCACGCTCGGGCAAGGGAGGAAAATCCGCTTCATGAAACACATTTACCCGATCATACATCCGAGTGTCGCAGGCAGCAGCCAAATGTCCAACGTGGCCACATTTAAAACACGTCCGAGTCTGCCCAAGGTAGGAGAAGCAGACCGTAAAGCCAGCAAGCGCGAGAGAAGAAGGCACATTCCCATGAAGAACCATCTTAGCCGTTCTGTAACCATTACAGAGCCCCTTGACGTCCCCGGTTGTGTATCTACAGGTACGAATAGAGTCTACACGCCCATATCTGGCAAGAGCCCGACGGAGAAGATCCTCAGACATTACAAATGGCGCATTCTTAATAGACACGTATGTGTACTCCACACTCAAATTCGTCACAGCCACAGAGCCACGACCGTTGCTCAGCCCCACCACCTTGTCCTCATACTGGTCGAGAAACCTCCGGAACAAGTCACTCTCGGCGAACTTCACAACTACTCTGTCGTCACGAACAACCTGTAGACCGATGAGATCTTCCACTTTCACACCCATAACCGCAAACAGAGTGTTGCTGACGACGCCAATATCCACCCGACAGGTAAATGTCAGCCCAGCCGAGTCCTTCCTCCTTAGTGGCGGCACGTAAGTCCACATACTGAGACTGAAAAAAAGTCACCCTGCAGTGACAAACAACCACCCGTCAGGGCAACCAACAATCACCCAATGTAAACACCAGCAGGGAGACCAGGGGAACGTCCGACCCGGCTGGTGGTTGCCACCACACTCTAGCACCGTAGTGGTAGTTCTACGCTGTTCGTAGTGCCGTTAGCGCTGTTTGGCCCAAGTCTCATAAGCCTGGCTCTTTCACAACCCATTTTCTACTCTTGGGGTGTATTCACTTGCTACAGTCAGCTGTGGGTACATTATCTACGCGAGGGCAGCTGACCTTTTCTAAGCAACTCATCTGAGGCTAGCCGGTCACTATGGTCGGGCAAAAGATGGGGTCGGGGGCAAACGAACTTACCAGGCCACTCACTCACTCACTCACTCACAAGGTCAAGCGAAGCAGCAGTATCAATGTGTAGAACAGGGCAAACAACCCTTCGTGGCTAGTTTGGTAAGGTCTGACGTGGAGCCAGTGTCAAGGTGAATGTGTCGAGTCGGATACACAGACTGCTCAATGTAGCCTAGTGGGGTACACACACACTGCTCACTGTAGCCTAGTGGGGTACACACACACTGCTCACTGTAGCCTAGTGGGGTACACACACACTGCTCACTGTAGCCTAGTGGGGTACACACACACTGCTCACTGTAGCCTAGTGGGGTACACACACACTGCTCACTGTAGCCTAGTGGGGTACACACACACTGCTCACTGTAGCCTAGTGGGGTACACACACACTGCTCACTGTAGCCTAGTGGGGTACACACACACTGCTCACTGTAGCCTAGTGGGGTACACACACACTGCTCACTGTAGCCTAGTGGGGTACACACACACTGCTCACTGTAGCCTAGTGGGGTACACACACACTGCTCACTGTAGCCTAGTGGGGTACACACACACTGCTCACTGTAGCCTAGTGGGGTACACACACACTGCTCACTGTAGCCTAGTGGGGTACACACACACTGCTCACTGTAGCCTAGTGGGGTACACACACACTGCTCACTGTAGCCTAGTGGGGTACACACACACTGCTCACTGTAGCCTAGTGGGGTACACACACACTGCTCACTGTAGCCTAGTGGGGTACACACACACTGCTCACTGTAGCCTAGTGGGGTACACACACACTGCTCACTGTAGCCTAGTGGGGTACACACACACTGCTCACTGTAGCCTAGTGGGGTACACACACACTGCTCACTGTAGCCTAGTGGGGTACACACACACTGCTCACTGTAGCCTAGTGGGGTACACACACACTGCTCACTGTAGCCTAGTGGGGTACACACACACTGCTCACTGTAGCCTAGTGGGGTACACACACACTGCTCACTGTAGCCTAGTGGGGTACACACACACTGCTCACTGTAGCCTAGTGGGGTACACACACACTGCTCACTGTAGCCTAGTGGGGTACACACACACTGCTCACTGTAGCCTAGTGGGGTACACACACACTGCTCACTGTAGCCTAGTGGGGTACACACACACTGCTCACTGTAGCCTAGTGGGGTACACACACACTGCTCACTGTAGCCTAGTGGGGTACACACACACTGCTCACTGTAGCCTAGTGGGGTACACACACACTGCTCACTGTAGCCTAGTGGGGTACACACACACTGCTCACTGTAGCCTAGTGGGGTACACACACACTGCTCACTGTAGCCTAGTGGGGTACACACACACTGCTCACTGTAGCCTAGTGGGGTACACACACACTGCTCACTGTAGCCTAGTGGGGTACACACACACTGCTCACTGTAGCCTAGTGGGGTACACACACACTGCTCACTGTAGCCTAGTGGGGTACACACACACTGCTCACTGTAGCCTAGTGGGGTACACACACACTGCTCACTGTAGCCTAGTGGGGTACACACACACTGCTCACTGTAGCCTAGTGGGGTACACACACACTGCTCACTGTAGCCTAGTGGGGTACACACACACTGCTCACTGTAGCCTAGTGGGGTACACACACACTGCTCACTGTAGCCTAGTGGGGTACACACACACTGCTCACTGTAGCCTAGTGGGGTACACACACACTGCTCACTGTAGTCTCACTCCCTAGCTATAACTGACTCTTCCATCTCCCATCGCATTAAACACTAAAATGTCTAGTTACGAAAACCAGTACATTTTCCCTCGTCCATGATGGGTTGGCTCGCATTTACTAAACAGTTCGAGCTCTCCGAAGCGTTACGAGGTTGTCCATAACAATAACAACCTTGGGTGGAGGACAAGCAGCGCATGCCAGCTCGTACACTGTTTAATAAATACAGACTTAGTCGTCATGACTGAGGAAAGATGTACAGGTCTCGTAAGAGACGTAAAATTCTTGACGAATCTTGCTTGATACCAGCTTGATGGGGGTTCTGAGAGTTCTTCTACTCTCCAAGTCCGGCCCGAGGCCAGGCTTGACTTGTGAGTGCTTGGTCCAACAGGCTGTTGCGTGGACCGGCCCACAGGCCCACATATCCACCACAGCCCGGTTGTGTTGGGCTACAATCCTAGCTCTTTTCTCAAAAAAAAATAAGAATACATATAGATACTATGGATTGAATGTACTGAATATGGACTGTTGAACCAAAAGCTACAAGTCCGCGTTCTGTGATATTAAATTGTAGAGGCTCGAGAAGTTGGCAGCAGTCAAACCCAATAGTTCCTAGGCCTAGTAATATACTAAATTAGACAAGATTGCGTTTGTTAGGCATATGATTCCCTATTTAGGCCTAGGTTATGTTAGGCTGTTTCAGTTATGCCCTTTAGAATTTCAGTAGTTCAAAACGAGGGCATATTTTTGTGGATTTCGTCCATAGTAGCTGTGTACTATTATTTATGGAGGATGGGTTGCTCGCGTCTCATTAGTTCATTCTCTCCATTCGCCACTCAGTAAAAAATACAACTGTTTTGCTTAACTAGAACCGTACACACACCCAATCATCCCACCTAACCTATCGAGACAAAGTCACGAAAACGTCAACATAGGTTTTACGTTTTCATGCCTCGAACTATTATTTGATACCACAAATTATGGACTCCAAAGCTTACTCAAGAATCATAATGATTCACTAAACCATGGAGGGGCCACTAGGCCAACTAAACCTCTGTGATCAGGGGCTTTGAGAACTGTCTCACCTTCCCACTTGACACCGTCGTCGATCTGTAGTTCAGTGACGGCCCAGGGGTCCTCCTCGGCCGCCTCCTGCTTCACCTGGCTCTCTCGCTCCTTCTCCGCCACCCTCGACAGGCCATCGCTGCTGAAGGCCACGTTCACCACACCATTCGACAACTGCTGGGGAAGGAACAATAACTTTCAATTAGTACAACCTCAAGTGATACCTCAATGTGTTACCTCAAGACTAACTTCACACTAAACTCTTGAAGGAATAACAACTTATTAAACAATCTAGGGGTTGTGGGAAGTCTAGGAATCAGTGTTCGATCCAATTCCACAACCTCAATGGGTTTTTTTATGACATGCCTACAAATCATGTTTACCTTTAATTAAAACAAACTTAATATGGATGAGAGGAATTGCAATTTTTTCACAATATCAAGCACAACCATTGTATAACGCAACAGCAATTCTTAGTATTAGAAATATTCTTTACACTAAGAGTGCACAACCACTTTGACTGGACCATCGAGCTTCACTTCTGTCAGACTGGCGTTCAGTTCCCGACAGTCCAAGTGGTTGGGCACTATTCCTTTACTTCGTCCTATCTTGAATACTTATCCTCATATCCTTTCCAAGAGTTATTTAGTCGTAATGGTTAGTGTTTTCTCCTGATAATTACTTTACCTAACGCTAATAGTATGAGAGCAATGAGGCACCATGTAGAGGAGAGTATAACAGGGAATGAAATGACTCGAGTGATTTTCTTCATGGGAGAAAAATCATGAACACAGAACATTTATAGGGCATTGAAAACAAAAAATCATAACAGAAATCACCTCAATAGAGGAAAAAAAACAAAAATTCAAAATTTTTGACTGTCAAAAATCCCACCTAAATAAGGATGTCAGGAAAAATTGGGCTGTGTAAATTGGTTTATATAGATGGAATAGTTGGGTCAGAGTAGAATGGTCAAAGGAAAGGGCAGCTAATTAATTAATGGTTCTTTAGGTTCTCTGGAGCAACATCCGGGTTGTTCACAAAACGGAACAAAGGGTGGATGGAACATGACGCAGACAATGACGGTGATGAACAGAATCTTCACCCGCGTTTGCCCATGACTTCTGTCCGTATTTCTGTGTTTCTCTCCGTCTCTCATTCCTTCCCCATTTCACACAAATGACCAAAAGAGACAGAGACGGATTTCAAAGGACAGATTTCACTCAAATGGCCAAAAAATGGCCAGAAAGATGGAGGAGGAGAAGAGGATTATTTCCACCTAGAACTCAAGGTTAAAAAAAAAAAATCCCCATAACATTGCACCAGAGCCAAGCGAGTGGCAGTAAATTACCACCCACGCCCTTCCGGCACGTACACGCACGCACGTGCACACACACACACACACACACACACACACACACACACACACACACACACACACACACACACACACACACACACACACACACACACACACACACAAAAGTAACTATATGTATCTAGAGCAGCGATTCGGAAATGACGCAGAATATAACGCTGGTGATAAAATGCCGATGACGATAACAGTGATGAATTTTGTCAGGTATTTTGTCAGGTGTGTTTGATGCTCACAGACGTACGTAGGTTCGAATCCTCGTCACGGCCCTTGTGGATTTGTTAATTTTGTTAGGATTATTCCAGCGCGAGCCCTCAGCCTGTGACTGGCCCGCTAGACGATTCAAGAGGACTTAAAAAGAGGACGATAATAATAATGAAGAATGACGGTGACAAATAATGCTGACAATGACTAATAATGACGAATATGATAAATGATGACAAACTATAATGGTTACATTATGATGACAATCGTGATGGTAACGGTATATACATTCATAAAAACTAAAATACACATGGTGCTCAAATTCCAATAATTATGAAACCAGTAATAATAAAATTAACCGGCATGAATATTACAGAAGCTACATGACTGGCATGCAGGCGATGAGTGACAATAACGTGGTTGAAGTATATTGATCAGACCACACACTAGAAAGTGAAGGGACGACGACGTTTCGGTCCGTCTTGGATCATTCTCAAGTCGACGAGAACTTCGACTTCATTCTCATCGACTTGAGAATGGTCCAGGATGGACCGAAATGTCGTCGTCCCTTTCTAGTGTGTGGTCTGGTCAACATACATGACTGACACTTTGTATTTATTTAAACATGTACTGGAAAGTCAGTGCTTAAGCTGCCTAAGCTGACTTGACTCAGTTTGGGAGCCGAGACCCGATTGCGCGGTTCTCATATTCGCGTGTCGCCAATATATGGAAGCGCGAATATTCCCAGGTAGTGTGTAATACACCTAGAAGTTCCGTGCGTGATTGGTTAGTTGTATGATTCACCTAGAAGCTCCGTGTGTGATTGGCTAGCAGGGTATCGTATCTTTCAAACTCTGTCACTCCAGTATATGAAAAAGAGAAGAGTAATAACCAATAAGAGACTATTGGTAATGTATAAAAGTTTAAAAACAATCTGTAATATTTGGGTAACGTGTGGAAAAGAGAGAGAAAGAAGTGGTTGTTAGTCTTTAAAACCCACAAATGCAAGGTTATCAGAATATAAACAAAAATAGAGCCGACGGAGCAATACAGAGTAAAGAGGCGAGGAAGCCATCAGGATCAGTGGATCAGAACCCACAACTAGACAACATCAGAGGTACACATCCACAGGGTAGCGTGTGGAGCCACAGTCAAGCAGGGACGCGCAGCCAAGAGCAGCAGAGACTGAAACCGGCACCGAATCTTGGCACTCAACCTTCAAAACCACATCCTTCAGCGAGTCACCCCTTGAGCCCCGTCCATCCTGTCTCAGAGTAGATGGCGTGGCCAGCGGGAACTTTGCACCACCAGTCAACGATAAACTGTCTCCGTGTGGGCATCACCAGATGCGACCCTTCCGGAAAATTGTGCTCCGTCACAGCTCTGCACGACAGGAGATGTTCTAAAGGCGTTCAACGGATTGTAAAGTTGATGGTAAAGTATGCATCAGTGGCCGCCGAAGGTGGACGTATGGCTTGCTAGTGCTGTCAGCGTCCACCAGCGGCCTGAAGGTGAAGTGGACTGACGGCTTACCAGCACCAAGCGGACACCTTAGACCAGATACAATACGTATATCTGTGTATCTATGTATTTACGTATGTAGGTTAGCTTAGCACTTTAAAAGCACCGAATCACCTTCTGTGGTTGAGTGTTCAATAAACCCTTGAACTATATGTTTAACACTTCTCTAACCCTGTCCATGGAGGACAGAAGAAAATGTATATATGCTGGTTAGCATTGTAAATGTGTGGCCACGTCTGTGGTAGAAAATAATAATAATAAAAAAAAACAGATACATCGTCACGTACAGCAGTCACTGTTCAATTCAAAATACCACGAAAATCGATATAGTATCTTGATATATCAGGTACGACCGGTGTCGTACAAGTCGGTAACAACGACAATGGATTATAGCACAAGGGTTGTTGTTGATGAGTGACTCAACATATGACACGTAATGGTAGAGGGGAGGCCACACAGCAGTCTGAACAAGAGAGAACTAGTGGCAGTCGTGGCTGGTGGTCACAGGCAGCGCCACAGTGATCACCATCTTCACATTCTCTTCATCCGTGTCACTATACCTGGGAGCTGACGCTCTGATGTCACGTGTCGTCCTATACTTTTGTCTGTCGTTTGAGTGTCGTTTAATCCTCAGATGAAGCGTTAAACACGAAAGGGAGGCAGTAATTCTTCAGTTATTTTATGATATCTTGTGCACACACGATATCTATACAAATATATTTCGCAAATGAATACAAGATGCAAAGGGGGGAGGGAGACGGTTTACGTAAAAGTTTATCTGGATGCCATTTAGGGCCTTTCACTCTCCATGAAACCACTCGAGTTCCTTGTTTTCAATTATCACCACCACGAGTTTAAACTCTAATTTAGGCAACGAAAAATTAAGAGAGTTACAGAATGATGACTGAACAGAGGCATGTTTAATGTCTACAAAAGTCTCGTTACAAGAGGAGTGGGAATCTGATCTCTACAACATTTCGGAATTGAACTACTTCCTGGTGCGTCTACCTGTCGTCGTTTCCTCCCTCTTCGACCGGCTCCGCCACACGGAAGTCTGACTAAGCATCATCATAGAGGCGACAAGGACAAAGCAACTGACCAAAACAAAAAAATATAGATAATAAAATCTTATTTGACTTCAACCAATCTAAAGAAAATATATGTGATATATTTCTTCCCTTAAAGTCTAAATAAGTAACCCATTATCAATGTGTATTGTAAAATACTTCACAGTATTATAACTCCAGTGAATCTGAAAACAAGACGCGGGTGACGTTTCCAGTTTTTGTTTAAGACGGACATTTTGAGTGCGTCTCAAGGACGGGGTCAAGAGGCTACACCAGATGTTGAGACGGTGGGTTGACCCAGGTGGCAACTCAGCCGGTGGTGGGTTGGCTGAACTGGCAACCCGTCCTCCTAAGATATCCCAACGTCAAGGAAACTGTATTACTAAAGTGCCCTTATCCTAACCTATCAGAGGACCCAAAACAGAAAACGGGACAGTATGTCAATTTCGCGAGCCGCTACCATTTTCTAGTACGACAAATTTTGCCCTTAGGTAAAGTATACGTCAAAATACGATGTTCTATTAGGAGGACATCTTGGAACTAGTGAACACCACTCTGAAGAACACTGGAGAACACAGCATGTCACAGCTTTACATTGCTCGGCCGTATATGTACCGAGAACGCATGCATTAGCTTTCTGACACATCATAAAAACACTATTACAAGATTTACCAACTTTGTAACATGTCGTAACAATAGTGACCACTGTGTTGTGTGTTTGCAGGGCGTGTAATGGGTAAAAGAACACAATTGATCTGGTCATTTTGACACTAACAACACCTCACTGGATGTCAGACAACAATGATGGCACCAGAGAAGGTTAAATACCACCGCCTCCTACAGAACCTGTAGCTACCAGAAACCACATGAATATTGGTAAGAGAATCAGTCGTCTATAATTATATAATATAAATATACACATGTATGCGGAAAATCCACAGAGAAACGGAAAAGAACGTTTTTTTTATGCATTGCAATGTATGCGGAAAGATTTTTCAGCACACAAATGA